CAAGGTTAAAAAACATTTTAAAAAGCTAAAACATAAAATACCCAAAGTGAATTAAAAAAAAGAAAAAAACTAAAAAATATAAAATACCTATAGTTAAAAACATTTTAAAAAGCTAAAAAATATAAAATGTGCAAGGTTAAAAAACATTTTAAAAAGCTAAAAAAAAATATAAAATACCCAAAGTTATATATAAAAAAAAGATTAAAGCTAAAAAATATAAAATAAAAACCTTACTAGAAAATTCCCAACTCTTTTCCTTTCTGTCTTGTTAGAAGAACACCCGAGAAGTGGTAGCCATCAAATGCGTGAGTAAGAAAAATTTGAACAAAGCATCTGTCGAAAACCTGCTGACCGAAATAGAGATCCTGAAGAATGTCCGGCACCCTCATATTGTGGAGTTAAAGGACTTCCAGGTGCAAAGAAGAAAGGGGGCGGGGTGTGTCTTTTGCCTAAGGTAGAGGTGTGCGTACTGGTCTTAAGTCCCCTTGTTCAGGTCCGTTGTAACTTAGAATGGTCGCTCAACAAATAGTCGTAAGTCAAGGACTACCCCGAAAGGAGCTAGAGCCATTTCTTTGACCAAGAACTTAGAGCACCTGTCTCCTAAGTGCAATTTTGCACACATTTATTCAAGCAATAACTCCCACTGGGGCTCGGTATTCCCTCCATAAGGACCAGAAACTTGAAAAAAGAAAGAGGTTGGCTGGATGGGAATGGGAAAGTAGATGTGCTTTTGATAAACTTGATGGAGGGTTTTTTCTCCCCCCCCCCCCCCCCGTCTCTTCTTTTAGTGGGACAAGGAATACATCTACTTAATCATGGAATATTGTGCTGGAGGTGATCTGTCCCGTTTTATTCGTAGCCGGAGGATTCTTCCAGAAAAGGTGGCTTGTATATTTCTACAACAACTGGGTGAGGAATAAAAAGAGAAACTTGTGGACTTCAACTCCCAGAATCACCCGGCCAACTGTGGTATCCTGGCTGGGGAATTCTGGGAGTTGAAGTCCACAAGTCTTAAAGTTGCCAAAGTTGTATATTTGTGGTTTAGAGCCGTGGTTTCTTTAAGAGGATTGAACTTTAACTTGGAGGTTGGGGAATTCTGGGACTTGAAGTCCACCTTTCTGAAAGTTGCTGAGGTTGAGAAATGCTGGCTTAGGGATCTAGTCCTCAAGAATACAGACTGTTTCAGAGTGCATTTTCCTTTTTTCAAAGCAGCTTGTGCCTTGAAGTTCCTTCACGATAAGAATATCTCCCATCTGGACCTCAAACCCCAGAATATTCTACTGAGTTCCTTGGAAAAACCTCATCTCAAGCTGGCAGGTATGTGAAGGGCCGGAACGACGGAGTAAGGTTGAGCTCAATTTCTCATTAAAATCCCTTCAAGTGGATTTGTCATGCCCCTGTTGGAATCTGATTCCGAGGGAAAGGTGGAACAGCTGACAGGGAGTGGGAGTGTGGCTGGTGGCTGTGGAAGAAACTGGAGAAGGGCACAGTCCGGCTGGGCATTCAGAGGAAGACCCAGGCCCACCCCCTCTTCATCCTAGGGCATGCAGGGAGGAACGGATAAGGGAGCAACGTGGGTTACGGGGGAGAAAAAGGCCCTGATTCCCTTCATTAGCTGCCGCTGGGAAAACAGGATAAAGAGGGTGTTTGCACACAGCTCCTTGCTGGAAGCAAAGTGTGAATTATTTTGGTTTGTCAAGTCTTATCTGGGTTCTGCCATCCTCCCAACTGTGTGTGTTGTGTTATCTTTTGAGTTCTGCAATTCCTTTTCCTGCCCTCGTTAATTGCTGCAGTATGGTTTGTGTTGGTTTTTATTTATAATTTAAATGTACTTAGGGTTCGGACGGAATTTCTTCCCTTTAAAAATTGTTCTTGGGAGAGTTTTTTCTCCAGCCGATGATAACTGGACATTGGGGGCCAAGTTGAAGGTATTAAAGGGACTTTACCTATTTTTGTGACTTTGTTGCTTTTGTGCCACACCCTGGTCATCACAGGATTTTGCTCAAAAGTAACACAATCAGTAGGAGTTGACTTTACTGTTTTGGCTGTAAAACATCATCATCTTTTAACAACCCCATAATCCCTTGCGGGGTGGACTCTGGACAACTCAATGGAGCTGAGTGTTTACTGGCCGGATGCCTTTCTTGTCACCAGGGCAGAGTTTTGTTCAGCAGATATAGTCTCATCCTGCCCAGAGAGACAAATGTCTGCCTCTACCTAAGATCGAACTCACAGCCTCCTGATTGTGAGGCGAGAGCTTCACCTCTAGGCCACCACACCTTATATCGGTTGCAAAGGCGAGGAACAATCATAAAGCACTTTTTGGCAGGCCCCCAAATAATTGGTAAATGAACGGTGGTAATGGTTAGGATTGCGAAACCCTAATCCTAACCCTAACCTGTACATCATGGTTTCCCCGGAGTTGCAGGAATGAACCCTCCTGCGAAGGTTTTTAATCAATGCTCCCTCTTTTCCCCTTAGATTTTGGGTTTGCACAGCACATGTCCCCCAGGGACGAGAAGCATGTGCTGAGAGGTTCTCCACTTTACATGGCGCCAGAGATGGTGTGCAGTCGGCAATACGATGCTCGGGTAGATTTGTGGTCGGTTGGCGTGATTCTCTATGGTAAGATAAGATAAGATAAGATAACCTTTATTGTCACTTTTTTCAGTAAACATACTAGCACACATTAAAAAATGAAATTCTGGTGCCAACTCTCAAACGATAGATAGGCAGACAGATAGAGATACATATATATGTATGTGGATCTTTGGTTATTTGGGTTTTCTCCCATGTAAAATTGGAAGTATTTTGACGACGTTTTGACGAAATCTCATTTGTCATCTTCAGGCTTGTGTCTTCGGCTTTGTGCTTCTTGGAGTACAACCCGAATAACCAAAGATCCACATACAAATACCCGCGAAAACCTCAGAAAACATATATATGTATGTATATATGTGTGTGTGTGTGTATATGTGTGTGTGTGTACACACACACATACGTATAAAGGTAAAGGTTCCCCTTGCACATACGTGCTAGTCCTTTCCAACTCTAGGGGGCGGTGCTCATTTCCGTTACAAAGCCGAAAAGCCAGCGCTGTGCGAAGATGTCTCCGTGGTCATGTGGCCGGCATGACTAAATGCCGAAGGCGCATGGAACGCTGTGACCTTCCCACCAAAGGGGTCCCTGTTTTTCTACTTGCATTTTTTTACGTGCTTTCGAACTGGTAGATTGGCAGAAGCTGGGACAAGGAACGGGAGCTCACTCCATTACGCAACGCTAGGGATTTGAACCGTTGAACTGCCAACCTTTCTGATTGACAAGTTCAGCGTCTTAGCCACTGAGCCACTGTGTCCCTTTTATATATGTGTGTGTGTGTGTGTGTGTGTGTGTGTGTACACACACAAAATTTTATATTGGTACCTATATATTCTGGCGGCACAGTGGTTAGAATGCAGTACTGCAGGCTACTTTTGCTGACTACTGGCTGACTACAATTTGGCAGTTCGATTCTCACCAGGCTCCAGGTGGACTCAGCCTCCCATCCTTCCGAGGTGGGTAAAATGAGGACCCAGATTGTTGGGGGCAAAGATGCCGACTCTGTAAAACCGCTTAGGGTGGGCTGAAAAGTACTGTGAAGCGGAACATAACTCTAAGTGCTTATTGCTATTGCTATACATGCGCACGTACATATATATGTATTAATCACACACACACACACACACACACACATACACTTCAGTGGTCTAGGTCGATGTCATTTGAAATTCCTCCGGGGTCAAGTGATTTTGGAGGGAAGGAAGGAAGGAAAGGAGGGAGGGAGGAAAGGAAGGAAGGAAGGAAGTAGGGGAGGGAAGGAAGGAGGGAGAAGAGAGGTGAAGGGAGGGTGGGAGGGAGGAAAGGAAAGAAGTAGGGGAGGAAAGGAGGGAGGAAGGAAGGAAGGCAGGAAAGGAAGGAGGGAGGGAGAAGAGAGATGCAGGGAGGGTGGGAGGGAGGAGTCAAGTGATTGTGGCTTCCTTCTCTGCGGCTTCCGTGGGATTCTTTCCGACCTCTTTGCAAGGCATCCGATCCTTAACCAGGTTATCCTTTCCCTCCCCTCTTCTTAGAGGCTCTCTTTGGCCGGCCTCCTTTCGCCTCCAAATCGTTCACTGAGCTGGAGGAGAAGATCCGGAGCAGCCAACCTGTTGAGGTAACCCTGCAAGGCCACAGGTGGGGGACAGATGCCTTGGTTGGTTGTGCCGCGAGTTTTACAGTCGGGTGTTTTTTTTTTCCGAGCTGCTTTGCATTCCCTTTTCCTTCCTTCGTGCCCCTTTTCTTCTGAGAAGGAATCTGTCGGTTTCCCCAGATTCTCCTAAGGCAAGGGTCGCCAACCTTTTGGACCTCAGGGACCCACCAAACTCATCATTTTAAATCCCGCGGACCAGAGACCCTGGGAAAAATCCCCCCCCCAAAAGTCTGCAGGAAAATCCCCCGCCCCGTTTTCCTACCGATCGATCGTTCTTTATTTGGGATCGCAGGATACCGTCTCCAGCTCCGTTCTCAGAGGGAGAAAGAGAGAGAGAGAGAGACTTTTGGCTTCATGCAAGGAAAGCAGCAGAAGCCGCAGAAGTCTTTCTTTCTCTCCCCCAAACTCCGCCAGAAACGAGTCTTTGCCATCACAGCCTCTTGGAGCAGGAGGCCTTGCAGGGTCCCAAAGACTCATTTCTGGTGGAGTTTGGGGGAGAGAAAGAAAGACTTCTGCTGCTTTCCTTGCGTGCAACCAAAAGCAGAAGAAGAAAGAAGCGGAAAGAAGCAGCCCGGTGGCCAGGCCAGGCACATGGGGCGAGTAGGGAAAGTTCCCTCCCTCCACCCTTTCCCTCCTCCCCTCACTACGTGTTGTTCACAATGCAAGTGATGCAAGCCTTGTGTTCCCATGGGCCATGTGGGCAGCTCAGCCTTGTGTTTTTGCACAGCCTGGATTAATTGCTTTGGGGGAGGACATTTCTCTGCAGACCACCTAAATGTTCTCACAGACCACCAGTGGTCCCCGGCCCACCGGTTGGCGACCGCTGCTCTAAGGGATCCATTGCACAAGCCTGCATCCCCCACCGTTTAGGTTCTCTTTTGAGTGATTGAAAAGTCAGCAGTAAACCTTCACCGGCTTCTCCCGCCTTTCCTGCACAGCTTCCCAGCCGCCCCCGACTCTCCCCGGAATGCCGGGATCTCCTGCAGCGGCTTCTGCAAAGAGACCCCCAGCAGCGTATCTCCTTCCAGGCGTTCTTCGCGCACCCCTTTGTGGACATGGAGCACATGCCCAGCTCGGAAAGTTTGGGGAAAGCCGTGAGTATCAGCAAACAGGGGAGAGAGGAAGAGAGAGAGAGAATGAACGAAGGAGGGAGGGGAGGAAGAAGGAGAGGGAACGAAGGCAGGGAAGGAAGGAAGGAGGGAGGGAGAGGAGAGGTGGAGAGAGGGAGGGAGGGAGGAAAGGAAGGAAGGAAGTAGGAGAGAGAAGGAGGGAGGGAAGGAACGAGGGAGGGAGGGGAGGAAGAAGGAGAGGGAACGAAGGCAGGCAGGAAAGGAAGGAGGGAGGGAGAGGTGGAGAGAGGAGGGAGGGAAGGAATGAAGGAAGGAAAGGAGGAAGAATGGAAGGAAGGAAGTAGGGGAGGGAAGGAGGGAGGGAAGGAAGGAAGGAAGTAAGTAGGAGAGGGAAGGAGGGAAGGGAGGAAGGAAAGGAGGGAGGGAGGAAAGGAAGGAAGGAAGGAAGGAAGTAGGGGAGGGAAGGAGGGAAGGAAGGAAGGAGGGAGAAGAGAGGTGAAGGGAGGGTGGGAGGGAGGAAAGGAAGGAAGTAGGGGAGGAAAGGAGGGAGGAAGGAAGGAAGGCAGGAAAGGAAGGAGGGAGGGAGAAGAGAGATGCAGGGAGGGTGGGAGGGAGGAAAGGAAGGAAGGAAGGAGGGGAGGGAAGGAAAGAAGGCAGGAAAGGAAGGAAGGAAAGGTTTTGTAGTTCAGTATTGGCAGAGAACTACAGAGAATAAACAGTCAAATATGCCTGGTTTAGCTGAAAATGTAGAAGTAATAATTGTATCCAGGAAAGGAAGGAAAGAAGGGAGGGAGGGAGACAGAGATGGT